TGAATATGCCTTGTTGTTCCCATTTAGATCCAATCTTGTTATGCTTCTGGTTTTTAATTCCTCCCGTCCTCCATTTAACAGTTGCAACGGAAAGGGATTTATGGGCCCACACAGATTCACGGCAGTCGAACCGCCAGAAAGTGTTCCTTCGCTCTTGCATTTTAAAGATACACATTTCCCCATCCCCTCCTCTGTTTTGAGGTTGAGGGGAAAAGAGGTAAAGGGAATTAAATTGTTGGTTGCTAACAGATTGATGAATATGGTAATGCCCTTATGCAATATTCCTCCTGTGAGCCTCATTCATTCTCAACTCAGCAAGATATTTTAATGCATCTGCCTGGGTTTTTTGACATGTCAGTTCAGCCCACTGATTTCATGCTCAAAAGTCTGCCAGATGTTTTAAGTGCCTCTCTGAAAATGTACAAAACCTACATGAGGTGCCTAAAACTTACCTGAACATTTAAAGGATGGGATTTCATGTTATTTATTTATTTATCATGCCAGGAGCAACCAGACAGTTGTATTACATTTTTAACAAAACAAACAAACAAAACACAAAGTTTGCAAGCTTGGTAGTTGATTAAATGTCCTTTGACCAGTAGCTGGCCACTTGGAGTGCCTCTGGTGTTGCCGCAAGAAGGTTTCAGGGATTTCAGGTGATTCTCTATAAACTGGGAATGAAAGAATCTGGTTTCTGTATGTTCATCCACAAACCCGTTCTGTCCAGTTCTACATTCAATTATTCTCAATTTTAAAGTACCAAAATCTATTTTAAGAATGTGAGATGACCTCCGATTGATGATAGCAAAGCCTGATCTTATCTATTATTCTTAAAATATGTATTTGTGTTGTAGATCAGTCACCAGAGGCCGATGGTTTAACTTATGATTTAGAGAGGATTGTGAGGTTTCCTGTGGATGATTCAGAGAGGATTGTGAGCTTTCCTGTGGCACAAAGTGATGGGACCTCAAGTCTGGAAAATGATGGTTCTCTCTGTGAGAAAACCAGCTTGGAAAGTGCAGGGCCCCAAGGGCATTCAGAGGAGTCAGAAGTAGCAATAGCAGATAATCAAGTGCAGAGTTGTGTGATAAGGAGGGTTCCCTCGGGAACCTACCTGCAGCTAAGGAGATCAACAAAAGTCTTTATTTACAAATCAGAGCCGAAAACAGATTGCGTCATTCAGAGAGATTACGTGAGCAAATTGTGAAAGAAATTAATGGGAAACAGTAAGATTTCATGGTGCCTATTAAACAACAAGTTGCTTACCTTAAGGTCAGTTCAGGCAATGCTGCGCTAGAGTGAGAAACTAAGCCTGAGTGCTCTTGTTCCTGGTTCAAGTCAAGCTTTGATTTCAGATTTAATATATCCTGGAAGTTTTCTATGTTCCTGTTCATGTACTCCTGTTCAAGTCTTACTAGTTACATTTTCCTGATTGTGGACTTATTATGCTCTATGTGTGATTCCTGGAAGTTCCTGGAATCACCTTTGGAACTTTATGGGACATTTGGATTATTGTTTGGTTCTCACCTTTGGCTAAACATTTTTGGATTATATCCAGTATCTTCCTTTCTTATTTCTGATTTTATATGCTTTTTTATATGGTTTTACAATAAACTGTTCGCTTATATTCTTGGACTCTTGTGTGGTGCTGTGGTCATAGGTGTTTCCAAGCCTAGACTATAGCAATCTGAAACTAGATTGATAGGCAGCTGCCAGTGGTGACTGAAGACATTTGCAATTGTAGAGTGACAGCATGCTTAAGGACTCCCCAGAAAGAAATACTGGAGATTGGGGAAGTCAGTCAAACTATGGGAAATTGAGTGGTGAAAAGCGCAAGTTTGATCAATCCCAAAGAACCTAAAAGAAGCACCAATCTCTTCTACTCTTTCTATTGGGGCCCCATTTTTAGCTTTTTAAAATGCCGGGTTGGGGAAATAATGGTAGCAGTGGATGGGCTTCCTCTAAAAGGAGCACCAAGAGAGTAGAGGAGGTTGGTGCTTCTTTTAGGTCCTCCTGGGATGGACTAAATGCCTACCATTCACCACTCTATTTAGAGAAAGGGGTGATTCCTTTTTTATAATAAGAGTTAATACTATAACAACCTTTATCAAAAAGTAAGCCATTCTTCCTCTGAGCAAAATACTTTTTTGAACATCTGGCTAGGGAAATTGTGACTTGTTTGGAAGCATATGGAACTTTTCTGCATCATAGGCGGTTGTGTGAATCATAATATTACTCTTTCCTGAAGGCTAGCAAGTGCAGAGTTATTCACGCAGCTCCTTATTTCCAACTTTGCCAGTGCTGTGCTTTGTAAGAAACACATTTTTGTGCTTTCATGTACCTTGAGGAGATTGCATCGTGTCAGATCTCGGGGAGAAGGAGAAAGCAAGCCAAGATTTAGGGCTTTAATAAAATTTCTCCTGTTGGAGATTGCTGCGATGCCCATTCCCTGCAAACACTTCTGGCGGTCTTTGACAGTAGTTAATAACCCTTGGGAGGCTGATTGGCTCAGGCATTTTAGTGCTGACAAAAGTCAGGGGGATAGAGCAGAAAGCGATAAAATGATGTCATTTCTTGCATTCGAGAAATGTTCAGAGATCAGCAGCCAGGTTACTAACTGGAGTGCCATATCGTGAGAGGACGATTCCCATGTTGTGGCAGCTCCACTGCCTGTGGATCCATTTCCAGGCTAAATACAAACTGCTGGTCATTACCTATAAATCCCTAAACAGTTCAGGCCCAGAATATTTGTAAAACCACAAGCCTCCTTCCTCTTTATTTATTTATTTATTGGTACTGACATTGCTATTGGTACTGACATTGCTATCATTTCTGTAGTAAATCAAAATCAAATTTATTTGGGCTGCATGTCTGCTATGATTGCATTATTTTAAATGATCTTTAAATGAGATCTTCAGACATAGTAATTATTTTAACAGAAAGAAATACATATCTCTATTCTATTATTACAATAGAGATAAAAGTACAGTACAATATCAGAAGGTGTTTTTACTGATAATTTGCAGAATTAGGCTGGTATTCCTACAGTTCTATACTTCTCCTTCCTCAATTTAAGATGACAGAAATTAAGACTGCTTTTTTATATCATACTTATGTTCTCAATACAATATTAATCTTAATAGCATCAGCTCTTACTTTTGTAATCTGTCTTGTATCTGGAAGCCAAAAGTAGATTTATCAGCCAATGGATGATGCTTTCCCCCTATAGCTATAAACAAGAATTACTACATTTCTTTTAGTGTCAGATATTTCCATTTTAGTGAGATAGCCTAATAAAAAAAAAACTTAAATGTATTTCTCTGAAGCTTTCATGAGGGCGTAATAACAGTTGGGTGTAGAGCATAATAAATCTTAGTCTTTACATTAACAGAAATTGATTGCTTATGCCAGGAGGGTACATTTGTATTCTTGTTCGATATTTCTCATTGTAAAAAGTGATAGAACAATTACTTCTTGTTGAGAAAAGTAAACAGAGAAATTACTTCATTTTTATGAACCTGTTTTCCCTTTTTAGGTGGTTTTCCATCTACCTGTTATGCGTCGTGTGTGAGGAACAATGTGTGTGAGCTAACACGTATATCTAATAGATTCTACCAGTGCCTTTTGATATAAAGCAGCATAAAATTTCTGATCTTCCATAATCTGGTTTGGAAAATATTAGTTGTATAAAACTGATTAAATAACATTCAGGGAAGGTTTTTTTATCCCATACCTGTGATTTCACCTACATGCATCCAACAAAATATGTCCTTCCTAGGAACCTTCTAATAATTATCCCATTGGTGTAATGGGTTAAACCCTTGTGCTGGTAGGACTGAAGACTGACAGGTTGGATGTTTTGAATCTAGGGAGAGTGCAGATGAGCTCCCTCTGTCATCTCCAGCTCCCCATGCAGGGACATGAGAGAAGCCTTCCACAAGGATGGCAAAACATCAAAACATCTGGTTGTCCCCTAGGCACCATACTTACAGATGGCCAATTCTTTCACACCAGAAGTGACTTGCAGTTTTCCTTACATGGAAAAAACCCCCCATCATTATTCATAATGGCAGCCACAGTGGTGCAATGGGTTAAACCGTTGTGTCACCTGAACTGCTGACTTGAAGGTCGGAAGTTCAAATCTGCGAGATGGAGTGAGCTCCCGTCTGTCAGCTCCAACTTCTTATATGTGAATACAAAAGAAGCCACTCACAGGATAGTAAAACATCCCGATGTCCCCTGGGCAATGACCTTGCAGATGGCCAATCCTTTCACACCAGAAGCAACTTGAAGTTTTTCAAGTCACTTCTGACACAAATAAAGAAAAATTCAGAATCCATTTTTCATCTATTTTTCTTGAAATGAACATTGAAATGAACCATGCTGGTCATTTCGTGGAAGGATCCTTGAACTGACCAGCGAGAAAGGAGTTGTTTCCAAATGCTTAAAATATGCAATAACCTTATCTTTAAAAAAAAACCAGTTATTATTTTTAGTTAGTAGGAATGGTGGAAGTTATGAGGTGGATTATTATAGGGTTATTATTGTATCAGATTTTTTGTTTTGGTTCTTATTTTAGAGTCAGTGTTTATTTGTTCTTTTTTATTTTTAACTGGTTGTGAAAATTCAATAAAAGCAATTAAAATTATACAATATCCTAGTAATTCAGGGAGCACATTTTCAAATTCTTACATCATAAACTCGTTTATTTTTTATTTTTATGGAGCATATTTCAGTTCTTAAGCAACCAACATTCTTGTCTTTTTAGAGCAGTGGTTCTCAACCTGTGGGTCCACAGGTGTTTTGGTCTACAACTCCCAAAAATCCCAGTCAGTTTACCAGCTGTTAGGATTTCTGGTAATTGAAGGCCAAAACATCTGGGGTCACCCACCAGTTGAGAACCACTGTATTAGAGTGAGGCCCTCCAAGATAAAGTGTGTATGTTGGTGTGAGGTGGGGAGTGTTTACACATTTCAAAAATTACATTTGTTTTGTTTTAGCTGAACTCTTCATGGACCAACAGCATCTCAAAGAAGCAGGCTTCTGTATCCAGGAGGCAGCCAGTCTCTTTCCCACCTCTCACGCTGTGCTGTACATGCGGGGGAGGCTTGCAGAGATGAACAGCAGCTTGGAGGAAGCAAAGCAGTTGTACAGTGAAGCACTAACAGTCAATCCAAGGGGAGTGGAAATCATGAACTCCTTGGTGAGTGGATACAGAGTGCTCCCATCTAGATTTATGTTCTTATTGTGTCATGTAGAGTGTTTTATTGGCCCTCCAGAGGTTTTTAAAGGCGTTTTGGGAGGAGTGGGGGCTATCTTGGGTTTCTTGGGCTCCAGCAGCCCAAGAAATCCAAGACAGATGTGTAGATGGGCACCGGAACTTGTGCAACATGAGCCCTGGTCCCGTCTACACAACGCCCACAGCCGGAGAGAATGGGTCTTCTGAAAGACCCTGGTCTTTTCAACAGAGAAATTACCCTGACAGTAAGCAAGATTTTTCTGCCTTGTGCTGAAAGCATTCATTTTTTGCTGAAGCTTAATCTGGATGGGCCAGCGGAAAACACGGAAGGGCGCACACTATAGGTGCTGTCTGGATGCATCCTTACGCAATTGTAATCATGTCTTTGTTGTAGGATCTCAGCCATTCGTCCTTTGTCTCTCATCCACGAGCAATCCTGAATCTTCAAAATATAAAGCAGCAGAGACCCTATAACAAGTATTTCCAGCATTTATCAGAATGAGTAAATGCCGAATGTTAAAGGACTTTTGGAACATAGTCAGCTGAAAATTGACCAGGCACACTAAGGACCTCACCACAGATTTCAAGCCAGGAAAGTGGCAATTGATTTGGGATAAATTTGAACATTATTATGAGCTAGAATGATTTGTACTCCAAAGCAAATAATTACAAACCTTGGCAACCTCACTAATAACAAAGGTGCAGTGAATGAGATTAGGAGAAAATCTTTATCTTCCAGGAAGTTGGCCATAGCAACACAATTGTGCTTCTGATTCAGTCAGGCAAGTTCAAACATTTCATAATAGGTCTAAAAGACTTAATTGAATGATTAGTGTGATTAAGCAACTAATGTGTTGATTGCAATCAAAACAGTGGCTGTGACCCATAGGGTCCGAGAAGACATATGTCACCATTACCCATTTGTCTCATACTGCTAGCTACTCTTGAAATGGAATAGAGGCTGAAACAATATATTTCGCTGTATTGTCGAAGGCTTTCATGGCTGTATGGTCATGTTCTAGAAGCATTCTCTCCTGACATTTTGCCTTCATCTATGGCAGGCATCCTCAGAGGTTGTGACATCTGTTGGAAACAAGGAAAATTGGGTTTATATGTCTGTGGAAAGTCCAGGGTGGGAGAAAGAACTCTTATCTGTTAGAGCTAGGTGTGAATGTTTCAATTGGCCACCTTGATTAGCATTTGATGTCCTGACAGTTTTTTGTTGTTGTGGCTTGTTACTGCCTGGGGGAATTCTTTGTTGAGAGGTGATTACCTGTCCCTGATTGTTTCTTGTCTGGAGTTCCCCTGTGTTTGGGTGTTGTTCTTTATTTACTGTTATAGTTTTAGAGATTTTTTAATACTAGTAGCCAGATTTATGTTCATGGTTTCTTCCTTTCTGTTGAGATTGTTCACATGCTTGTGGATTTCAGTGGCTTCTCTGTGTGGCCTGACATGGTGGTTGTGAGAGTGGTCCAGCATTTCTGTGTTCTCAAATGATATGCTGTGTTCAGGTTGGTTCATCATGTGCTCTGCTATGGCTGATTTTTTTGGTTGAAGTAGTCTGGAGGGCCTTTCGTATTCCTTGATTCATATTTGGGCATTGCTGCATTTGGTGATCCCTATATAGTAGCATGATATACGGTAAACTCCTACAGAGGTGAAAGGATCGCTCTTGTCCTTTGCTGAATGTAGCATTTGTTGGATTTTCTTAGTGGTCTGTAGGTAGTTTGTAGGCTGTGTTTCCTCATCAGCTTCCCTATGCAGTCAGTGGTTCCCTTGACGTATGGCAAGAACACTTTTCCTCTGGGAGGATCCTTGTCTTTACACTTGTGGTTTGTTCTCGGCCTTGCAACTCTTCAGAGGTCTGAGATGGAGTATCCATTGGCCTGTAGAGCCCAGTTTAGGTGGCTCAGTTCATCTTCGAGGAGGTGGGGTTCGCAGATTCTTTTTGCACGGTCTGCCAGGGCTTTAATTGTGCTTCTTCTTTGACTTGAGTGATGGTTGGAGTTTTTATGTAGATATCTATCCGTGTGTGTGGGTTTTCTGTAAATGGTGTGACCCAATTGTTGATCTGGTTTGCGGATGACTAGGACATCTAGAAAAGGCAGATTTCCTTCATTTTCTTTTTTCATGGTGAATTGGATGTTTGGGTGGATGCTGTTAAGGTGGTCCAAGAAACTGTTTAGTTCTTCTTCTCCATGGCTCCAAATGGGCCAGCTGCAGTGTGTAAGTGTGTCATGGAAATGTAACGAGAAACCTCTGAGTATATGTGAAATAATAAATCATATATATATTTAAAAATATTAATAAAAAGTTTTCAGAAGATATGTTGTGTCCCCATACATTTCATTATTGCAATGTATGTATGTATCCATATCTTTTATAAGGGATTGGTTTCACCTCTGGTTTCCTAGCAAAGTGGCATTAATGTGTTGCAAAATGATGCTTATCTAAACAGGTGTGTCACCAACATGAACTGTTTGGGAAGCTCTTATCTACACTGTAGAATTAATGCACCACTTTAAGTACTATGATTCAATGCAGGACTCATAGGAGTCATCATTTGGTGAGGCACAAGAACTATTTGAGAGCAAAAGCCAAAGACTTTTTTTTACAGTAAGAGTTTTAAAATCAACTCCATGATAATGCATTATGTAATGTTGAATTATGACTCATAATAAAAAGGTGTGTGTATGCTAATACATATTGGGCCTTAATCCCATTTCAGTTCCCCTTGTATCAATGGTAACTTGGCTGTTCAACATTTCAATCAGTTGCATTGATTTAATGAGTCCGCCTTAGATGGTACAAATACGGGATTCAGATTTTACTTTCACAATATCCCAAGTAACTTTAAGAGAGTGTGTGTGGTTCAATGATTTGAGTATTGGACCAGGATTCATGCATAAATATGTGAAGGGTGGAATGAGTAAGCTTGTTTTCTGCTGCTGTGGAGACTAGGACACGGAACAATGGCTTCAAACTACAGGAAAGGAGATTCCACCTGAACAGGCGGTTGACGGGGAAGGGAGACAGGGCCTTCTCAGTGATGGCCCCTTGGCTGTGGAACTCCCTTCCCAGAGATATTAGATCCACCCCCTCCCTCCTGACCTTTCGGGAAAGAGTGAAAACCTGGCAAGCTTTTGGAACCTCAGCGTAACCAGATAAACACAGTATTATGAAATAACGAACACGGAATAGCCTAAACGATGCAAAAGGATAAGGAGTTGAACTGGAAGACACTAATTATTATATTTTAATTGATTTTACATGGTTTTTATTGTGTGTTTTAACTGTTTTTAATTGGTGAATGTGTGTTGTGGCATCTAATTGTTGCTAGTCTGTTCGCCACCCTGAGTTGCCTTTGGGCTGAGAAGGGCGGGTTAGAAGTGCTGTAAATAAATAAATAAACATGAGGAAGAACTTCCTAACTGTGAGAACTGTTCAGCAGTGGAACTCTCTGCCCCAGAGTGTGGTGCCTTCTTTGGAGGCTTTTAAGCAGAGGCTGGATGATCATCTGTTGGGGGTGCTTTGAATGCTATTTTCCTGCTTCTTGTCAGGGGGTTGGACTGGATGACCCATGAGGTCTCTTCCAACTTTATGAGTCTATGATTCTATGACTTTGGAAGTCCAAGGTTGAAATCCCTGCTTGCCTATGGATACCCATGAGGAGACCTTGGGCAAGCCATATTCTCTCAGCCTCAGAGGAAGGCAGTTGCAAACCTGTTCTGAACAAATTTTGCCAAGAAAACCTGTGATTGGTTGCCATAAGTCTTAAAAACAAATGAACGAGGAACTTTCCCTGCGGCCTTGTCCACAACAGCCCTGTTCAGCTCATGCAAACTCAAAATTGTCACTTCCTTGAGTGATTCAAACTATCTGAATCTTTTCTACTATCGTCCAGCTCCAGAACATTATTGTTTTTCCTCCAGTTATTTCTTTTGAACAAGCCATGTGTCCAATGCACAAATGCCTCGGTTTAGGTATTTTGGCATTTAACAAGGTTTGCTACGCAATCTATTTATTTGTCTCTCTAGTGATCCATCATGCCCAGCTAACTGTTCTCTGGCACCACATTTCATAATAGTTGATTGTATTCCTGGCAGCTTTCAAAGACATAAAAAAGCAGAAACGCTAAATCATGGATTATTCTGATTTCGATATTTAATTACCTAAAAACTCATAGAATCATAGCGTTGGAAGACACCACAAGAGTCCAACACCCTGCTGTCTGCAGATGGGAAAAATGTATTTGAATTAAGATATGTTTTGATGACTTCTACTAATGCTTTGTAATGCAGAAGAAGACATAAGTTAGAGCAGTAGAATATGACTCCCCACCTCCACAGATTATATTGCTGAGATGCAGAAGGATTCTAGTAATCGGAAATGTGTTTTTGTGTGGAGGACTGTAAATTCAGCAACATTCAAGGAATGAAAGCATACTTCTTTTAATATTTTGCACTGGTTTCTGAATGGTTACTCTGAATGGTTACTCTTAGGTCTCTTGTAAAAGAACAAACAAACCCAAATGACCTCATTACAAACCCAAATGACCTCATTACCTCTGAGGATGCTTGCCATAGATGCAGGCGAAACGTCAGGAGAAAAATTGCCTCCAGAACATGGCCATATAGCCCGGAAAAACCTACAACAACCCACAAACCCAAAGACCCTAGAACCTGCTGTCTCTCCTATCCCCCCAATCATGATAGCCTGAAATATGAGTATTTTTGAGAATAGTCATATCTGGAAAATCATTTTTCCTGAAGAAAACCTTCCTGCCCTCTTAAATGTCATCCCCAACTATGCAGCAGTGTCTCCTCCATGGATTCCATGTGTGCCGGTTCTGTTTTGATGACACAAAAAAATAAAACAGCAAAAAGTGGGATTCTTGCTCACATGTAGACTAGGGAGCGGGGACAGAGATATGAAGAACATAGCCATGTCCCCATTTTGTGTCT